TAATCGGGGTGAAAGGCTCCCTTAAAGTGTCTGGATGAAATATTTAGATGGCAACTTTTTGTGCAGATCACCTAATAAATGTATGGAATAGCATTGCATAATAATAACAATCCTTGCATTTGATATTGGCCCACAAAGAGCTTCATGTGATTTACTGTAAAGTGTAGTGACTATGTATTTTATAGGGAATCTTAATTATATTTACTATGAAGCAGTGTTGAAGAATGTGGGCATCTGCCAGCAGGTTGCAGGATGAGCTGCCCCTGGGGAAAGGGGGAAAGGATGGATAAGGGTGAGAACTTCATCCTCTTGAGCGTCTCCCCAAGGAAAGCCTGAAAGCAGAGCTCACAGGATGTCGCCTTTTCCCAATACCATTTGGCATTTAATTACTGTAAACACACTAGCAAGCAGATCTTTTAATCCTTTGACTTTCTGAGTTAAGCTGTTTGACCTTCCAATAAAAGAATACATTGATGAATCAGCATTGGAGGTATTCTATAACTAAAACCCGATAGAATTAGAGAATTTTAATGTAATTTAATGGAGAAGCTGTATGCTATAAATCCATCCTAATGCAAGCTCTTACAGCAATGAGTTATCACTGACATTTTTTCTTTAGCAGCACATGATCCACAGTTTTAAGAACTCTCTAAAACAAAATTCTATAACATTGATGGTAGTGCTGCTTTGTTAAACATATGCCCTGTCCTTGTTCCAAAATAATGGTATGAGGGGGACATGAGGGAGGGGCAGTCAATCAAACTCATTATTTTTGGTGTTTAAAGTACGGCAAGGAAATGTCTTTTGAACAAATTTTTCAGGCACCTAATCTTTCAAATTTAAATTATTTGATTTGAGATGTAATGTTTCTGATAATAATAATAATAATAATTGCATTTGACATTGTTCCTTATAATTTTTATCAAAACGCCTCAAAATGCTTCACAGGATTTACTATAAAGTGTAGTGATTGTTTATTTTGTTGGTAAATGTGGCAACCAATTGGCATACAGTAATGTATCACAAACAACCATGAAGTGATCAATCATTTTTTTTCTCCAGGTGCTTATTTCTAAAAGTGCTAATGTTATTTGCCATACTTTAACATACCTGTTAAGTGTGACTAATTGATCTACAAATTGGCTTGACAGTTACTTAGTCTCATTCATTTTAATGTATCCTTGAAGGTAGTTGATGATGAAAGGGAGGGAGCAAAACATTTTGAATCTTTGTTGAAATCGATCAACTGCTGATCATCCACACAGAAATCTCATTATTACACCAGTATTATACAACCAAAGTAAAGCATCTTGTTTAGTAAAAGTTGTATAAGACCCAAGGGTGCGTGGTTGAGGCTAGGACTGAATTCATTAAATAAAACAGCTTGATGTTGTAATGGGAACATGGCTTGGTGGATATTCTGGAAGGATGAGAACAAATGGACTGGATGGCCTTCTTTATCCAAACCAATCTTGTGATTTTGTGAGATACTAAGATGTATTGGGAATGTATATGAAATATTTTAATGACAGTGACAGTGACAATACACACAGCTAGCTGCAGGAGCTGTTGGAATTGAAAGCAGAATCATAAGGTTCGGTTGCATCTACATCCAGCCTGACAACTGGCTGTTTGCTATAAAAATTCACAGTGGAGTTCTGAATGGAAAAGACTTAAAAAACAAATGTCTTTATAAAGCTTTCCACTTTGAAGCTTTTCGTAAACCTACTGTATAGTGAAAGGCATATCTGAATAGAATATAAATTTGCTGACATCTACCTATTGGCTTAATAAGCAAAATGGAAGCACTTCAAGAATTAAGATACAAATTGAAGTGGCACTAATAGAATTTTCAGCCCTATACAGTTAATCATTTAACCACATAAATTACCAGCATCACTTCATTTACAACAAATGATACAATATCACTATGAACTTTGAGAAAAGTGCGGAACAAATCAAGATATTCAAAGAAATGTAACTCTTTTGATACCAAAGTCTTGTCTCAAGCCTTACCTGTAATATAAACACAATTATTTCTTAATTATTTGTTCCACATTTTTAGTTTTTACCAATTTCACCTTCTCCTAGATCGAGCAAATTCTGGATTGAAAATGATTTCTAATTATCTCTTAAACAGTTTTTGTTTAAAACTCAACAGGTTTTCCAACATGTGAAGCTTTCCAAAATGCTACTTTTTTTTGTGAATCTTGCAATATTTGGGTTCTCCCAGGGTTTGATTCCGTATGCTTATTGAGACAAAGAGTTAGTAACTGAGACTGTACCACGTTCCCTCGTTTCCTTCGAGGGTTTTAATATGCACTACCAGCAAATACTTTTGAAGATTTGGCATTTGTAACATTGAGTTTTTCCCAACAATTATTAAGGAGAAAAAGCTACCATTCTCCCCATTGAATACCACTTGATTTTAACATGTTTTATTTAATCAGAAGTGAAAACATCTGTGAAATTTGTTAAAAAAGCGAAACTGAAGAATCCCATTTATAATGCGTGCTGGTGATAGAATTTCCTGGTGATAGAATTTCCTAGTTAATTCTCGATACATTTGCGGTGACTTGTCTTGTTGTAACATTGCCTTGAAACATGCACTGATGATTGGCTTCTGCACTGATTGTAGCTGCCAGAGGAAAAACTGATCAGTCCCTTACTTGATTGAATCTATATATAAAATAATAAGGGATAATAATAATAATCCTTGCATTTGATATAGCACCTTATCCCACCATTGAGACTCAAAGTGCTTCACAGGATGTACCGTTAACTGTAGTGAGTGTATATTTTATTAGGCAAACTTGGCAGCCAATTTGTACATAGCCTGTGCCACAAACAGCCATGCAATGCAGTAAGTAACTTATTTTGTCTATTAAGGAACGATTTCAAGGCTTTAATCTTATTTTGGAGTTCAGACAATGGTTATAAAGCACTTCAGCCTCACTGTTTCAGTTTACAATGTTATCCAAAATGCTTCCTTTAAATTACTGTCTCGTATTTCTTCAAGCTATCCATTACCCTCTATTTATCAGTGGTTAACATATATAAGTGAGTCAAAACAGCTTTCTTTTTAAATTTGATTTGTTGTATGTGTTTTCCTCCCATCATTTAAATTAAATAATGCAAGAAGAATCCACACTTATCACTTCCCTGTGATGAGTGTCCGACTATGGAGTTTAGGTGATGAATACAGACACGCTGGTTAAACATGAAGATGACTTGTCTAAGAGACACCTAAGACTATTTAAGTAAACAGAACATAATGGAGGGCTCTCCAAATGGTGTTGCTGAACACTGTACCTAAGCAACTCAGAAATGTTACCCTTACATGAAGGGCACCATATGAATGAAAGTTATTGTGATTGTTGGCCAGTGATGAACTGGGTTGGGGGGCATTATTGCTGTCATTTGATGTTATTCCATGTGAAGAATGGAATATAAATGCAAGTTGCTGTTATCTCAACAGAATCACCAGGTTTTATATGTTTTATGTTAGCATGTGTGTGCATTATGTCAAGTACAATGCAATTTGCATTTATATAGTGATTTGTATGTTGGGAGCATGTCCCAAAGTGCTTGACAAATCTGGCTGGGAGCCAGAACTGCGGGTGGGAGCTGGGGGGTGAGGAGGAGAAAGATGACTGAAAGCGTGTTCAAAGAGATACGTTTTGAGGTGTACTTTGAAAGAGGAGAGGGAGGGAGCAATTCAGTGGGAATGGAGTTTCAGAGACCAAAAGCATGCCAATCAGCAAATAGATCAGGGGCCATGGAGTCAGCCAGGTGCAGCCGAGCGAGGGGAATAGGTGGTTTGGTAAGGGTGACAGAGGTTGTAAAGGTAGGATGGGGCGAGACCATACAGAGATTTAATGAAAAAATGCAACATCATTTTTCTTCCATGCTGGTTCTGTGAAGTACATACAGTTTGAGCCTGTGCTGAAAGATTGTGTTTAATTCAGGACAGAGCAGTGCTCCAATCACTGGAGACAAAGAGATTAATTTGCAATATGAACCCACACTTTAATTTCACATCTTGGGGATTAAATTCAATTGTGTTGCTTGTGATGATCTGTTTAAGCAATTGCCTTCACTATGTTTTTCCAAAAACAACTTAGTGTAACTGTATCAGTTTTGTACTAGCTGTTTGTAATGGTTTCCGACAGAATCGTTGCTGTTATATACAGTGTGGTACTATTGTAACTTGTGTCTTTAGAGCGCTGGTTCGGTTATAGCAACGACAATTTGCACTTATATAGTGCCCTCCACGTAGGGTAGGATCTCAGAGCGCTTAAGAGTGGCCGGGAGGAGTGGGGCAGTGGCCGTAAGCACAGTCGAAGAAGAAAGTTTTCAGGCGGGACTTGAAAGAGGGGAGAGAGGGGGAAAGGTGAAGGGATTGACGGAGAGCGTTCCAGAGTTTTAGGGAGTGGAGGGCTCTGAGACACTACCCTGCATGGAGGACGCTATATAAGTGTAAGTTGTTGTTGTTATAGCACAGTTACCTAGTAGGCATGCGTGAATGCTAGATACTGTGTATCCACACAGCTGGCTTGCTCACATCACAACACTCTGGCCAACTCTTGTGGTAAAATTGTAGACTCTGAGACATTAGATGGCTGCCGGTGTCACTTCCTGCTTTGCACAAGAGCAGCAGAGAGGAAGTAACATCGGCAGTGATGCAATGACCTGTAAGTTGGATTTTTTTTAAGCACAAGAACCAGTTGGTGCATACGGAGTGAGCCGGACCAGCTGCATGCACGTGCAGTTATCACAGCTCATTATCGCTTGGGTCGGGATTTTACAGAACCAAACCAGTGCATTATAATGTGTCTCCACATTATATTTGTTAGCTGATATCAGTGCTGGCTAATATACTGTGTTGCTGTTTCTCAACACCTGTAAATTTTATTTTCAACTTTAAAAATGTGATTCCTTTTATGTTTCCATTTCCATTCATGAACGACCACTGATTAGTATCCATTATTGATCTCTAGGTAGCAATCAATTCCGTTCCATCAATGGCCACACCTCTGTCACTACGGGCAGTCTCTTGGATGACCATCACTGGCACTCTGTGACCATCGAACGCTATGGCCGTAACATCAATTTGACACTGGATAGAGAGACCCAACATTTTCGGACAAATGGCGAATTTGATCACCTGGATCTAGACTATGAGGTACAGAATGATCTGCCATGATCTTTATCATGTCTAATTAAAATTACTCCTGGTCAGTTCCTACATGAGATAGCAGGGCAGCTAATAAGCAATATTTCCAAGCCAAATTATGCTGTTAATTACCATTTAGGTGAATTGCAAATTTCCAGCAAAGCAAAGTTTATAAAAGGCCAGTGAGCAAAACACATTGTATAGATTAGAATGGCTCTAAATCTTTACTGAGTTTTCTGATCTCAGCCACAGAAGGAATGGAGAAATCCAGTTAGCCTTGTTTTTTTCCAGCAAAGCAAGTGTAAAATCAGTCAGAGTTTCTGCTCCTGGGGTAGTTGATAGTATTCTTGCCACTCGAATCAGAAAGTTGTGCATTCAACCTCAACATCATGATTTTCAACTCAGTCTAGACTAACACTCTAATGCAGGCTGGCGGAGCACTGCAATGTTGCCTTCTACAGATAAGATATTAAACCAAGATATCTGTCTGTTCTGGTGGACATTAAAAGCACTTCTCAAAAAGAGAAACGAGTTTCTCCCGGTGTTCTGGCCAACAATTCCCCCAGATAAAATTGGTTATTTACTTCCAACTTGTTTATGAAGCGTTGCTGTTTGTAAATTGGCTGGCATGTTAATTTACAAAATACAGTCATTATACATTACAGTGAGTCCTATAAAGTGGTTTGAGACATCCTCCAACGTAAAAGGTTCAATATCAAGTGCAATTATTTATCTGCTATCCCCACCTGGAAAATGTATCCATCTGAATATTAGGTTAGGCTGAATTATGATGGCTCCCAGTCAACAGCCATTGAGATTTCTTGAGGGAGTTTAAATGTTCAACAATTGATATATAAAACATCATAAGGTTTCTAATTTCAACTCGTCTGTGAAATGGTAGAATAGACATGAACACGTTGAACATTGTAATTTTTACCCCAGTATAAAAATAAAGTAAAATAGTCTGATGTAAAAGGCAGAATGGGAAAGGATTGGAGGGAAAGAGAGGACAAGCAGAAATTGTTAAATGCTTGAATGTTTACTTTAGTAAAGAATTAACCTTACGGTAATGAAGTTGCTCTTGACATTTAAACAGCATTATTACAGCAATATTAGGGTTTATTTAAGCTCTGCAGTTCAAGAATGTAAACCTTAGCAATTGGATGTCCCTGAAGCTGGAGCCAACCTGTGCTTTAAAATCAATCATAAGACTATTCAATGTTTAGTTTTGAAAATTAGTGCTGATTTGAGACTCAGGTTCATTCAAGCTTCGCAAAGACTTTTACTGATATGGCCAAAAGTTGATTATGAAGATTAATAAATTCATTATAATGATGTAATTTTTACTTGTCTGGAAAGAGGAAACATTTGTATCCTAACTCCTTGCTGTTAGATAATTATATGTTGTAAAACTGCACAAAAAATTTATAATACATAATGATTTTGCCCATTGAGATCTATGGTGTGTAACGCTGTTTATTTACTTTTCCCTTCAAGCTGAGCTTTGGGGGAATGCCATTTTCTGGAAAGCCGAGCTCCAATGGTCGAAAGAACTTCAAAGGCTGCATGGAATCTATAAATTACAATGGAAATAATATTACCGACCTTGCCAGGAGGAGGAAGCTCGACACACAAAATGTGGTAAGTTCATTGACTTGACAATAAGTGAGTCAAACCTCTTAGTGATCTGTGATGAAAGTGATTGAGGTTGCATGGAAAGAAGTAACAATGTTCCACTATAAAATGGTCAGTCACCTCCTGGCTGTTTGTGGGACATTGTAGTGCATAAATTGGCTGCTGTGTTTGCTCACCAGTCATTCCACTTAACATAATTACTGTAAAGAGACATTACAATGTTATAGGTGCAGTGCAAGCATTGATATGATTATAAGCAAGGTCTGAATAGTGCCTAGGCATTCAAATTTGTTTTAAAACTTTTGTTTTATACTTGCGTTATTCGCAGTTGGATTCGCCTTTCTTTTGCAGGATTTAGGTATTGGTGATGCACTTTCCAACTGTGCATAATACAATTGCCACAGTTATTGCCAATCGGCTGTAACCTGCTTAACAGCTCATCGAGGAGGCTTTACATATCAATGCAAAATAAAGGCTTTACAATACAGCCTGCTTTTTAATACACATTTTTTTCTCAAGGTCTCACAGAATCACAAGATTGGTTTGTTGGATAAAAGAGGCCCTTCAGCCGAACTGATCTCATCCCTGCAGAACTGACCTCAACCACCCTCCTGGTAACCTGATGCAGTTGTTAATCCCCTGCACTATGTACAGTAATTGGACAAGTACAGGGAGTTTCTCCCAGTGTGCTAGCCACTAAATCCCCCAAATAAAATTGAAAGGTCCTATATCAAATGGAAAGATTATTCATTAGTTTCTAATAATAAATAATAATCCTTGCATTTGATATAGCACCTTATCATGTAATTGAGACGTCTCAAATCACTTCACAGGATATATTGTAAACTATAGTGACTGTGTATTTTGTGGGCAAAACATGGCAGCCAATTGCGCGCAGCAGTCTCCCACAAACAGTCGTGGAATGATTGATTTTTTTGTGGTGGAGGAATTATTACCTCAGGAAAGTGCAAATCGAATAACATCCGAGTTCCTACTTACTGCTGGGTAACCAGAGGTGTGTGTGTGTATATGTCAAGTAATAATAATAATCCTTGCATTTGATATAGCGCTTTTCACGTCGGGAGGACGTCCCAAAGCGCTTCACAGAACACACTGTAAAGTTAATTGACTGTATATTTGTGGGCGAACGCGGCAGCCAATTGTGCACAGCAATGTCCCACAAACAGTCGTAGATTGAAAATGACCAATTTATGATTGTTTTTGGTTTTGGAGGGATTATTATTAGGCGTGTGGAGTAAGGAAACTTGCCTAAAGTTTTGCCTCGAAAAAAAAATTAACTTCTACTATTGTTGAATTGCTTAGGTGGCCGGACCTCAATTCTTCCATCTCGCTCTCTCTCTCTCTCTTTGTGGGGAATCACTAAAGTGGTGCTCTTCCTTCTTCTGGTGACCCCAATGAAATCATTAACTCAAGAGCATGTGCCTATTGTACCATGATGTGGTCCAGGACATCAGAGTTCCAGCGTTATGTGCTTAAATTAACCATCAACCACACTTGATTATTTTTCTCTCTGATAATTTTCCCTCCAGTTATAACTCCTTTAAGTGTTTTAACTTTTTTTTAATGTTTTTCCATCAAAAGGCATTGCCCCCAACTCCTCCACCCCCCACACTTTGTTACTTTGCCAAAGTGGCCACTGTTTATGTGTGTGTTATCAGACCATCTGACTTGGTTGTATCATGATCCTGAAGTGCTGGCAAAGAACACCAACCTAAAGCAACTGGCTTGTACTCAATGAGCTACTGTAAGAGGGGCATTGTTTTGGAGAAGTGTTGAGAACAGATATTGTAGTGCTGGCAGTGTTGATTGTGTTCATCAGTCTGATCCCTCTGTTGCTACCAATCAATAAGACAAGAGTCTAACACTAAAGTGAAGGGAATGCTGCTATTGATTTCTGTTCTCTGGTGTCTCACAAAGAAGATACAATTGAAGCAGTCCTTCCTGGAGGAGTCTACAGGTGACTTTGAAGTGAACAACACCAGAACTACCTTAAGGGCCAGATTCTTGTAATTCCAGCTAACCTATAATGATAAGCAATTAAAAGGGGAAGACTGACAGATGACAAATATTTAAAATTATGATTTCCTTTTAGCAATCCATTGGTTCTTGGTATAGTATTGAATAGACAGATGTCTGTCACTGCCCGGAGTGGAAGCACTATAATTTGCCCTGATACTTGTGAATGAAATATGTATTTCGCTTATAATATACACAGTTTACAATATATCTTGTAAAGCACTTTGTGATGTCCTCGTGATCTGAAAGATGCTATGTCAAATGTAAGGATTATTTATTTATAAAATCCAGTGTAATACATGCACTCCATGCATCTCATAAAGACAGCAGGATGTTGTTCCGCTTCCTTCACTGAATGTAGAATTGTCATTGATGTGAGGATGGGCTGTTCTACCCCATTCACTCTGTTCAGTGAGTGTGTTGCTAATCGTTTATAAATACTGCAACTGTAATGACATTTTCAATTATAAACAACAAACTTCATAAATATAAAACTCCATTAGTTATTTATAAGTGCACATTGACAAATTTACCAAGCACACAGCATGGCACATATCGACAAATTCAGTACATTTTAATGAAGTAAATCAAATAACCTCAAAGGATGCAAAGTACCATGCTGTTCCTGCCAAACAGTAACTGTGAAGCTCTTTTCTCCTACATTGAAAGAATAGCATGAAAACAATGTACAATCATAGCAAAAGATTCACAAGAGGAAACAGATCCTTTTACAAGAATTGATGGACTCTGCCTCAATATAACACAATGCAATTTATACTTTAAATTGAAGGCCTTTCAGTCAGGCAGATGCCCCATGGCACTTGACAATTCTGGCTGGCACCAGAACTGAGGAAGGTGAGGAGCGGAAAGATGACCGAAAGCACGGTCAAAGAGTTACGGGTTGAGATAATTTTATTGCAGACAATTAAGGATGCCAACCCCCATGTTACAGGGTATTACTGGCTGTAGTGGGTGCTTACATTTCCTCTCTCCTCTCTTTCAGGGTAACCTGAGCTTTACGTGTGTGGAGCCTCATGCAGTACCTGTCTTCTTCAATAGTAGCAGTTACTTACAGCTGCCCGGGCGCATGAACCAGGACGTGTTTTCTGTCAGCTTTATGTTCCGAACTTGGAATCCCAATGGCCTGCTCTTGTTCAGCCACTTTGCTGCCAGTTATGGAATGGTGGAAATTGACCTCAGTGAAGGAAAGGTCAGCATTAACGTCAGCATCAATCAGACAAAGATGAGCAGCATCGAGATCTCCGCAGGTATGTAGAGAAGAAATATAAATGCAACTGAACTCAACAGTCTTGTAAAATAATGATCATTTTAATATCTTGCCATCGGGATGTTTTAAAAAAAATCATAGGTTGCTCAATGGTTCACTCAGTTGATGAATTCACTGTCTAGCGTTGGGCTGAATAGCCTGGGAAAGTCCCAGGTTTAAAGCTAGAATTAATAGCTGATCTGAATAAGGAGGAGACATTACAATTGTTCACAAAGCTCTGAGGTACAGTGGTAGACAAACATATTTCTTGTTTGTCATTCAATGAAACCCCCAGAGAAAGTGCTGCTGTGTGTATGTCAGACGGAGAAAAGATTGTGTTGATGTTAACTGCATTCTGCTGATGCATTTCCTACAAGAATAATCACTGCATGTTACAGTTAATCCTGTGAATTCTCAATCCTGAGATATCATCCTAATATGAAAGGTACTATATCAAATTCAAAGATTATAAATTTGATGTTATGGTGGGGGTGGGTAAGGGAATTGAGTTGCATAGTGGATTGAAGCAATATCCATCAAACTTGGGTACAAATATAATCCTTGCAATTGATATAGGATTTTGTCACATTATTGAGACATCTCAGAGCGCTTCACAGGATGCACTATAAAGTGTATTTTGTGGACAAAATGTACAACCCTGGGTATTGATCCCCTGAATCTGATGTCTGTAAGGATTTAATGTGAAGTCAATTTGGTTGATCTAATCCCAGTTCTTAAAACGTGCAAAGTTCAGAACCCAAATTTGAGCGCATTATCCATTAAATATTAAATCGATTAAGTATTAAATTCAGCAGTCTTACATAGATAGGCAATATGGTTAAAAATACAATATTTGCAAATGGATGTATAACTATTAGATCTGGACCTCTGCCTGGACTCAATCTCCTCCCAGGTGCCAGGAACCACTTTTGACTGTCATCTGGAAGTTGCAACTGAGATTGGCATCTGATCTGAATTCAAGAGAGACACATCCACATGACTGCAAGATTTACTATTTGCAAATCAGCCCCCAGTATTGACAAATGATTTGAAGGGAAAAAAATGACTAACACTCATGCAGTACAAATTGCCCTTCTGTTGAGATTGTGGGAAGCAGATCAGATAGGGCTTTAACTAACAATGTAGTACATTGTTTAAGCTTTATTCAGCTAATATGTGCCTAATCTCTGGAACTCCTCGCTCTACCGCTCCATCTTGCTCTCTCTCTCTTTCTGTCTTTAAATCATGCCTGAAAACCTACCTCGTAGATTATGCTTATGATCACCACCTGCTTTTCTTTCTCTGTTTTGAAATTCTCAGTTAAATCTATATCTGGGCCTCATTTTCACAACTTTGTTTAGAGATATTTTGGAGGCTTTTTACACATAATTGAAATTGTTTTGTGCCTGTTTATTTGGAAATGTAAGACACAACCAGTTGCAAAGTCAACCAGAAATCAAAACAAAAGACAGACACGAGTAAAAGTATTAGAAACTAAATATGACATTATTGCACAATTTCTAACAGACAATACTCTGATCTGAATATTAAAGAAAATAAGAAGGGAAAAATCACACAACATTCACAAAGTGCCCTCTCAATCACACGGTTGAGGATAGGTGTAATTTGAGGGATTAAATCAAGAGGAATTCAGCAAGCCTATCCAATTCTCTTTGAACAGGGTCCTGCAGGAATCGCAGATGTTCTGTGGAACAAATCCTGCAGGATTACATGGGATAAATTTTCAACCACACAAGATTTTTTTCTATGTTATTGAAATTTCTAATTTAAGAATCCCAAACTATCGAGCTATCTTCAAGAACAAGGCTACTATCTGACCAGACCATCTCTGCTGTCCAGTGGGAGAGAATGTATCTCATCAGTGAAATTTACATACATGTGGAGTCCTGTAGCTCAGTGGTTAGAGCACTCGCTTTGCAAGCAAGAGACCTGAGTTCAATTCCAGACAGGGCGAAACCTTGGGCAAGTTTCCTTACTCCACACGCCTAATAATAATCCCTCCAAAAACAATAATGAATTGGTCATTTTCAATCTACGACTGTTTGTGGGACATTGCTGTGCGCAATTGGCTGCCGCGTTCGCCCACAAATATACAGTCAATTCACTTTACAGTGTGTTCTGTGAAGCGCTTTGGGACGTCCTCCCGACGTGAAAAGCGCTATATCAAAATGCAAGGATTATTATTATTATTATTATTATTATTATACCGGTTTGACTACCTGGTGGAACTAACAGTTTCTAGGATTATTATCAGAAAGAAGGGGAGGGTATATTTTTTGACAGAAAAGTGTAGAATGCCTTACCTAAATGGCTGTTGAAATTGAGCCCATACGATTGCTTAAAAGACAATCGGATAAATACTTGACAAAGAAAAGATATACAGTATACAATATATGAGGTAAGAGCACAGGAATGAGATTATAGTAGATAGATCCAGTGGGGAACTAGCACCAGTGCAGACACGATTTTCTCCTTTCATGCTGTACCTTTTTAAGGTTTTCACTTTTGAGTCACAAAGAATAATTATCTAATCTTCCACTTACAGCAGCAAACATAAACTAAATCAGAACTGGGATCATTGTTGACAATTAAAAGCAATGTTGAAGAATTTAAGTAGTTAGCAGCCAGTTCACAGTTTAAAAACTGTAAACAGTAAGAAAAGTAGCAAAATGTTATCACTCTTGCCCCTGAGTCAGACGGTAGTGAGTTCAAGCCCCATGTTGGGACTTTGAACTTACTTTGTAGGCTGAGAGTCTAATACAGTGCTTGGACTATGCACTAGCATTGCAATGTCAGAGGTGCCATCCTTCGGATGAAATGAAAAACATAATACCTGCCTATCTGTTCAGGTAGATGTTAAAGATCCCACTTCCCTATTTGGATAGAGATAGGAACCCGACCAACTGTAGTATCTTCGTATTTCAGAGATCCCCCAATCTGGCAAATTCTTAAACACCATCTTAGTTTTTGAAACTGATTTTCTATAAGTTTCTTAAGAACAACAGAAAGAAAAGACTTAATTAAGACTGAATTCAACACTGCCAAAATCTGCGACCAAATCCAGACCAAGTGGATTTTTTCCCCGAAAGTTCCTTAAAAGTCACTTTGAAAACCTGAAATATTTGAGGCTGGTGGAGAAGCATCTGAGCTGGTAGAGGCCCTACTTTATGGACCACTGCAGACACCTGTCCCTGCCTCCTGTTTGACAAAATCACCATTACTCAGGAAGAAGAACAAAGTATATATATTATAATTGCAAAATTAGTCAATTCACTGGAGTGAATAATGCTGACAATTCCGTTCCTGATGACTGGTGTGATTGCCAAGCACGGCTCTCTGGAGAAGTAACAGTCTTCTTCCTGATGCCAGCAACCATTACTTTATCTGACTCCCCTAAGAGAAGAACACTACTGCTACTGTTCCTGCTGACAGGAATGATTATCCCACGAGACATTCTGGCGTGAACAGACCAAAGCCTCCCAATTCTGATGACAGCAATGATTACCCCAGAAATTTCTAGACAGAGTAAAGTACCCTTGCCCACTGAAAGCAGTGGTTACCTCACTTGAGACCCTGTAATGATTAATCCTTCAGTTGGTGATGGGGAAAAAGTGAGTTCCTCTGTTGTTGGGATGTGCGAACTGAAAGTACACAAATTCATTTTTCAATTCACCTTTGCTACCCTGTGTGAAGGGCACTATATAAATGCAAGATAGGTGTCTGACACATGCCGAAACCCACTAAGGTTTGGGGTATATTTGCGGGAAAATTAATTTACAATTTTAATTTTGTGAAAAATGTTTGCCCCTTTTTAATAAGCCTTTTTTTATGTCAGCTGGATGTCTGCACATGCAGAAGCCCATCACCGTGCTTAACAATATCCAAACCAAATTGCGGGTTCCATGCATCACACCTCCACATGAAATTCCAGAGATGTTTATTGGAATGGAATGTGCCGCAAGCCTCAATGTAGTGGGAGGCACTTTACAGCTTGTGATGTGCCAGCCACCTTGATGTTCTTGAGGTACAAGCCCAATGCCACATTCAAGGCTTACTCAGCACCAACTACTTAATCCAGGCCCTCATGTGAGGAGCCTTGGCAAATAGACGTGCCCCTTTGAAGCTGACTTCATCTCCAGGGTGCTCAGCGACACGTCAGTGTAGATTGGAGACCCTCCCGCCCTGCAATCGCTTCCCATGTTTTCCACAATTCCACCTCATTGCTTGACCCTGCATTTCCAGGAGCTGAGATCCATGAAAGAGAAAAACATGTTTTAAGATTAAAAAAGTATTATCCAGAACATGAAGCGAGGATCTTTCTTTTGGGCAGCAAATTCCCTTCCCTTCTACAAAAAATTCCATTATTTTAAATGGGATAGTTGTCAGAATTGTTTAAAAATACATTGCTACATCACTGTTTTACTGAGCGTTGAACAGGACATCATTACAGACTAATGCTCTTCTACAGTTATCTTTCACCTTTACATTTCACATACGTAAATCAATCAATTGCCTTCTCATAAGAGAAGTTTCTGGAGAAGAGAAAGGCTTACCATGAAACAACCCCCGTTCGAGTGCCAGCAAATCTGTCAATATTTCCAGGTGCCATGATTCTGTGGGAATTTCAATTGCAGCCTGGAAACCATTAGTCCTGTATCATTAGTTCTGCATCATTGTGCTGCAATGTCTTTTGGGCAGCAGGCTTATGGGTACATTGGAAAATTTATTAATTATAATCCTTGCATTTGATATAACGCCTTATCATGTTGTTGAGGTGTCTCAACACGCTTTACAAGATACAAGATATTCTGTAAAGTGATGTGACTATGTGCATTTTGTGGGTGAACCCTGCAGCCAATTTGCACACAGCAATCTTCCACAAACAGCCAATTCTAAATGACCAATTTTGTTTAAGGGACTGTTGGAAATTAAAATGAAAGGGCATTTCTTCACAGAATTCATAATTGAATAATTTTTCAT